ATCATGGTTTCGTAGGAGAGTCATTAATGGTCGCTTTCTGCATCCTTAACTCTAAAATTTTAACACGAGCAAATCAGGACATATTAAAACTACCCTTTAATTGTAGMATCTTAGAGAACTTTAGCTGAGATCTCTTTTATGTCATTATAGTGGTATTAATTGTATTCTGCAAATATTAGAACATTAAAAATTCGTATGGGAATCTTTTCTATCTAACATATGATCAAAAATATGTCTTATTAMTAATAATAATATTTTCAAGTATAATTCGACATTGTTTGGATATTAGATTGCCAGCTAAAAAGTAAAAAATATTACTACTAGCTGTTAATAATATTTCAGTTTCACTATAGGTAARCATTTTGAGTCCTTTTTTTGAACAAGATTTCAATCTTTCTTTGCTTCCATTTCTAATTTCAACTCAAGTCTAATWTTATTATTTTAACTCACTCACTTTCCTAATGATAATTGATATATATGTTTATTATCCTACCATATAATCTTGTACTTAAATGTCTGTAAATACTTATTCATTATAATATGTATTTTCAAACACGTACCGACTTTCCTTGAAATCATTGTTATACTATGTAAAAAATACTTTACACTTATTCAACTTTAGCAAGCGCAAAAACAAAATAAGTGAAAATACTTCTTATATTTTCACCGCAAAAGTTGCATTCCATACTGTTAGAATTTCTGTTTCCATACGGAAGAATTTATGTGTATTAGGGAGAGCCTTCGTGTTTGTCCGTAAAGTGGAGCTGAACGAACTTACATATACGAATAAAACAAATTTGCCATGAATCTCTATTTAATGACCATTAAATATGACGGAAAATAGTTGCGTAATCGAAATGATGATTAACTACTGCCCTTGCTGACATCAGAATCAGAGGACATAAAAACGGCATTTTTTCGAAAGAACATCCGTTTTAGACTATTATCATTATCATTCCTACTGATTTTAATAGTCTGCGGACATCGAAAATCCGAATGGATTTATGTTTTCTGGCTTAAAATCTGAGCTCTAGCTTGTCAAAATAATTATAAGTTGKCTATCTTGGTTTCTATGCTCTTAAGTACTTAACGAACTGAGAACTATTTGAACACGCCCCAAATAATCAGCAAAGACGATTATACGTTGTAACTAATTTATAAGTGTTTCACAAATAACTCACAAAAAGTAAAAAAAAATTATTAAATTTTCAAAAACCAACTGAACCACCCTAATGGCAAGTAGCCCGCATATTGCACGTGTATATGAAATGCATATGGCTGATAAAGCGGGTGATACAATTTTACTACAAGATTTTTGTGCATATTATCACTAGATCACTTGCTGTTGTTGTGATTGTTCACACTTACCAATCAATCGTGCAGCAGTTTATCAGTGATGGATACATTCTTAAACGCTCCTTGAAGGAATCGCCAATCGGTGAAAATGCCAAAGCTATATGCAATTGCTCACGTATCCTCTCGATAAAGTATGCATACATCTCCGAGGGGGAATTTTCAATTTGTCTCGCCTGTGCGTCAGTCAGCCCGCATTCGAGACGAAATKCGCCCAAAGCGCAGAAGGYGGTGCGATGTTGCCGCAGTTGTAGTATAAAATGCAATCCACCATGAGTGTACGTGTGTGCGTSGTTGGTGGTGTYGTTGTGTGCCGTTGGATGTATTTTATTTGCAGGAAATTATCATCAGCATCGACATCAGTGGCAGTTAGAGTGGCAGCAGCAGCGCCARTGGCAGCGGCAGTTGCATGTGCGAGYGTTAACCGAGTTCGTAAGTAGGAAGATGCATCATTCAATAATGCAGTCGAAATATGAATTGATTGTGAGCCACTCGAGGATGTTGCGGAGCGGGGCACCAGAACAGCAGTGCAACATTGCAGTGTGGCAGGCCAGGTCAGGCCATCGGGCGGTGCGTGGCATGTAATGCAGTCAGGACGGAAGAAGTGCAAATGAAATTCCCAYAGTGGTGTGAAGTGGCAACGGTAATGGCACGGAGAGCAAGCAGCAATGGCAGCAGTAACATTTGGTTGTTGTTGTAGTCATGAAAATAGTGCAAAGACAGAAATTCAAAATGATGGCAACAGAATTATAAAGCAGGTTAAAGGAAGTAAAATTGAATCGGCCAAGCAAGCAACCAATATTTGTCATTCGATGGTCCGCAAACGACCGACATGGGAGTGGCAACCGGTGCAGGAAGACGGAAATGAATGTGTTACCGGAAATAAAGCAAATAYAGTTCATGAAATAACAACTTGTTATTGTACGGTCGGTGCATAAGTAAGTATGGTATGCGGTATGTGTTCGGCCGTTGTCATTGTCTATGTTRCTGCTGTTGTTGTTACTATCGTAATTGCTGTATTTAGTTCGATTGCCTTGTTGCTCGAGCATTTACTCGACACCGAGACTTGTTGTGTCGCCTATTATTGCTATATTGCCAAAATAATGAGCTACTTGTGGGCCAATAGTGACAACAGCAGCAGCAACAACAACAACGAGAACAAAAAACAAAGCATTAAGGCCTCTCTTGGAATAAGTACGATGCCAAATTAAAGTAACTTGAGAAATATGGTAGTACTTAAGACGCAGTTGAATCACAAAACATCGATTGTTATCACAGAAAAAAATATATGAAAATATGTTTCAAGGTCAACGTAAATTGTTCTCTAAATTTGTAGGAAAATTATTTTTAGTTAATTTAACTCTTTTTAATTTCACGTTATTTATTTACTTAACGATATATGTCTGTTAACACAATTATATATATAAGTCTACAAAGTTATAGCCTTAACATTTCCATGAACTATATTGGGAACACCCTAGTGTGATAATCTTTTTGTATGACCACCTTCTCTAAGTCGCATTTACAAACAATTTAGTGCTATTATCTTTGCACACCTTCTAAACTACCACTTCTGATKTATAATATATAAAGGGTGTGTTTTTAGAGCTTCAATTCTGTACTATGGTTTTACCAAAAGCTCGTCACAAAGGAAAACTACATGAAGAAATTTTACTCAAGGATTTTTCGCACTCCAAACATGATAATTTTACRTATGCTTACATATCTCCATTAAGCCAGAAATTTGGTCCGTCGCTGACGATAGTTTTGCTGGAGAAACCTAGTAAGCTAATTTGTTTAGAAATTGCATACCACTAAAAGTGTACCCTATACAAAATTTAAACATACAAATTTCTAAAGCGCACCACTATTTAAATAAAATACTCGCAAACGGAACACATTTCCACTCACCAATTGCTTTGCAACACTCGTCATATTCTCCATAATTGCCGCTTTGTCTTCCAACTGATAGAGGTTGGGCAAATCACCAGTGTTAAGTATACCATTAATGTCTTCAATGAAACCCTCATCGATGGCCTGTAAAATATTTGAGGAGAAGCTGAGCTATTTTCATAAATATTTTATTTATTTACTATATTTTTGCTCGTTATTGTATTTAGGACGATATAGATTAGAAAATGAATGAGATAAGCAGACTCGGTGGATTATTTACAATAGGAGTCCTTATCAAGATTTATAATGAGAATATGCACGGAATATTATTGTATTATTTGTGTACAGATATGTTATTTATTTTAAGGGGCTGTTTTCATAACAMGAGATACAATTTACATATAAACTGGGGTAATTATTTTAAATGAGAATTTGTTATAGTTTTAGATAGTTTTACAAATTAYTATTAATATTATGTTATGTCCGATTTTTGGTTACTTCACTTTCACTTTCATCAGTTATTTGTCAAAAATTTTCTGATGACAAATGATTTTGATTATCTGAAGGGCTATACGAAGGAGAGCCAAGGCAATTTCACACTAACTGAACTCTGAAGATGGATATGCTAAGATGAGTTTTGAGGATTGTTAGGTTTGATGAGTGAGATCCATCCGATGATGCCACTAACCGAAACAAGACCTTAGAATTTCAGGGTTGCAGGAAAAAATTAAATCTCATAAAAAACGTTCTTTCAGGCAGAGCGATGAGAAGAGCTTTCCATGTAATGTATATCAAGTAATTTAAGGAGTAGAGAGAATCTCCTAATTAACCAGTTAAAATTTTTAGTAGTATTTAATTAAATAACACAACTTTCGAACTTTTTAGTAGAGATATCCATACACTGTCTTCCATGGTCCAGCTTTACAATAGTGGGTTGAAGATCTTGGCAGTTCGAACCAAAAGAGATAGCCGAAATTGACAATAGTTGCCTCATGAATTTTTTAATTGAGCCTATTGAGCTTTGCCTTTTATCGAGGGTCTTTATGCTCAATATATAGGAGTTKCAGGTATCAGGATTGACTAGAGATCTTAGCTCTCTCTTCTGCAGATCCATAAAGATAGAAGTCTGATAAAGCCTTTCTAGGTCCACGTGGATTTTTATACTCTCGCAACAAAGTTGCTAAAGAAAGTATTATAGTTTTGTTCACATTACGGTTGTTTGTAAGTCCTAAAACTAAMAGAGTCAGAYATAGGGTTATATGTATATACCAAAGTGATCACCGTGACGAGTAGAGTTGAAATCCGGATGTCTGTCTGTCCGTCCGTCCGTCCGTGCAAGGTTAAGTTCRAAGATGGGCAAAATCGGCCCACTGCCACGCCCACAAAATGGCGAAAACCGGAAACCTATAAAGTGGCATAACTAAGCCATAAATGAAGGTATTAAAATGAAGTTTGGCACAAAAGATCGCGTAAGGAAGGGCATATTT